GGACAAAGCCATCGGACCAGAGTTTGAAATACCTGGGTCATGTGGTGAGCGAAGAAGGGATTCACACTGATCCTGACAAGATTGCGGCGATTAAAGAATTGACACCGCCAACAAACACACGCGAGTTACGGCGCTTTCCTATTACGTTGCATAATGCACATAGATAATCTATTTGTTTATGCAATCATTTTCATCATTATTTAGTACGATTAGCTGCATATTTCGGGATGGCCACGTGCATGGTAACTTCACGAAGGTGTTGTTTGCTTGTTCCAACCAGTTTTCGGCGGTAAATTTTCAGCCTCAGGACGGATGTGCCCAATCTAAGCGAAACGCTGCACCACTATAAACTATAACAAGGAGCTCTAAGAATTTGTACATTTTTTTACCTTCCTCTAAGTTTATGCTTCCATAGTGCTTTCATTGACGATAAGCTACTTTTTAACTATTCTTTTGTACATATGTCCTCTGAAAAGGACCCAAATTAAAGCAACGTCCTAGATCTATAATAATATCTCATGGAACACTGCATATAATGCCAAATTTTTTTGCGGTAAGGTAATTTAAGGTATTTTAAATTACTACACACTTATTAACAGCTATGCTGATACGATGAATTAAGTAAATTTAACTTGCGTGGTGTTATTTTTTAATGCATAAAAAATTTCTTTAAAAAATAATAAAATTTCCAAAACAATAATTTGTTGAGGTGGCAGTGATACTCGAGCAATTTACGAAAAGTATAAACGTCATAAGCACAGTTTATGTCAAAAAATTTCAAAGTGAAACTACCTTCTTTTTTGGTATCATGTCTAAATCTTTGAAATTAAAATTATATTGTATTCCATGGTGAAATAGGACTTGGAGAACTGTCCTTTTGGATGGGACTTACTGGGTATGTACAACCATTCTTGATTGCAGAACTGGGTGAGTAAGGGTTTGAGCTCTTTGAGGTAGAGCTTTTGTCCTTTGATGTCGGACTTAGAGGGTGGGTATTCACGTTTTTCGGGGTTGAACTTGTAAATTTGGGGTTTTCACTGACTGAGGACTGAATATTTATTCGATTGTCAACGACAATCATATAATGCTCATAGTGAGTTTCAAACGCGTCCCAGGCGAGCTCGAAATTCTTGCCATTTAAAGCAAAGTTTTTTATAAGGAGAGCGGCTACTCCGCTTCTGTTTCAAGTGGTACAGCTTTTGAATCGCAGAAAATTTGGGATTTTTTATGTACACTGCTCTGAATGTGCCTTTGAAGTTTGGTCAGTCTTCATATCCTCCATTGACAACTTCACAAGCAGGTACTTTGGGAAAATTGTACGAATCGGGTCGAATTCGGGATATCGACATGCTCTTAGTTAGTCTCGAGTTTGTCTGGAGTTGACTGAGTATCTCGTGTATCTTCAACTTAGTGTTGAAGCCGAAGTCATTGGAATTTTCATATAATGCATTGCACTTATCTCGGATCCTTTCGTCTATGTTGCTAAGCTGCATGTTTTCGTTCGCGGCGTCCACCAGAGCCATGTGTTGGTTGAGCTGATCCAAGTTTTTCTTGAGTTCTGCGTCGGTATGGTTCGTTGCGCTTATTTTCCACCAGTCGCAGAATTTATCAAGCCTAGTTATTTCGTAGAGAAGATTTTTATGATTATCTTCGTCGGTCTGGGGATTTGACCAAGTAAGATAACCTTGTTGAGTTTGGGGTAAATGAGTTTGGCATTTTCCTGTTTGTCTTCTGCCATTTTGAGTTTTGAGATTTATTGAGTATTAAGAGGGGGCCTTTTTTGTTAGTGGGAGTCTTTATTTTGATTTATTTTTATCTTAATTATAATAAATGTTTTTATTTAATTTAGTGCTTTGTGCGAATATTATTGTGCAATATTTTTGCTCCACACTGTACTGTTTGTTAAACCGCAAGCTCAACTTGTTTACGTATGTCGACCGCTTATATACGTGGGTATGTATGTATGTACATATGTCACCCACTAGCTGCTAGTTAGAATAGCGAATGAGTGGGGAACAGTAAAAATAAGAAATATCACTGTGGGGTTGGAGCGGAGTATGTACGATATGCTTTGTATGTACGTTTGTGTACCTGTCGCATGTAAATTGTGTTTGCTATGCGATCAGTGAATATCGAGAACTTTGGGTGTAATTTGCTTTTATTTATTTGAGATGGGGAATTGGGCAATAGAATTGGGCACAAAGATGCACAGGTTAATGTCTGTATGCACCTGTGTGTAGGTATGTATATATGTACATATATGCATGCGTTTGGGGAGCGTAGCGGTGACTTTGCTTACATATTACCCAGTGCTAGTTTGGCCAAGTATATTTATTACGCGCGTGTACTTTTTGGAATGCGTTTGGGAGCAGTTTCATATATATATGTACGTGGAGAGATATACATATGTATAGGGGTTATATACGTATGAAAATGTATCTATGTATACTTAGCGGATTTTGTTTTTTTTTTTGAGTATGGCTTAAGAGGAGATGCGTGGGTTTTTAAAATATAAATATTAATATATACATATATGCGCAAAAATTTGCGGTAAATCAAATTGTGGGTTTCTATTTTTACCATCTTTGGGGTCCGCTAAGTATATATACGTATATAAATGAGTTAGTTTAGCGGATTTTTAAATTTTGAGGTTATATTCAAATGCGCGGGAATGGTCGCAAAAATATATGTGTTGATAGAGAGCGTTATTTGCTGTACGGTGTATGAAGCAGGGAGGTTTTCAAACACCGTTTTGGGAAAATCCGCTAATTTTTTTGTATGTGAATAAGTAAATGATGCACTTACTTTGACATTCCGTTTCTTTGTACAAACCACTGAGTTTAGGGGTGCTTTTTAATTGATTTGGATCCGGCCTAATGTAATCCGATACTGCTGTGTGGGTGTTGATATGTATACGGCTGCGACTTTTTGCCGATGCTGTAGGGCTATGTGCCTTTTGTTTTTGGGCGGTCTTTGGCAGGCGACTTGCTAGAGTTTTTTGCCTTCTGCCTGCTGTGCGGTTACAGCTACTCGCCTGTTTGTGGCGTTGTTGGGCGTCTACTTGCCAAACTAGTTGCTGCTGCTCTGCTGCAGAGATGTTTTGGAGTTGCGCTGTTAACTGCTTGCTGAGAGGTTGTTGTTGGGCGGCCAATTTTGGACGGTTTTTGTGGCGCTGTTGTTTGCCGGTGTTTGCGCGACTACTTTCTGTTTTGTTGTTGGGCGACCAAAAATATTTTTTTGTATGTGTGTGTGTCGCTTCACTCTGTACAATCAACTTTATTTTTCAAACTTTTAATTTGTGTACACGTTTTTTTTTTTGCAAAATTGTCCACTTGAATGTTTTACTATTTTTTTGTTCACTGCATTTAGTATTATAATGTGCGCAACTATTATGTGCGTATGTATTTTGTCAGCCGTCTTATATTTGGCAAGTATTTGTGTTATATGTACATTCAAGGTTTGTATTTAAACTTTTGTTGTGTCGCACCAACTTTATAGCTTTTACCCTAGATTTTTTCACTTTTTTTATTAATTTATAATTTCAATTATTTTTCACGAACTTCCTCGTATGTATATGTAAGTACTTGGGCGCATACCGTTGACGCGACTTAACTTGCTGGCCGCTACTTCGCTCGCTACGCTTTCGCTTACTTGCTTTTTAACGCAGTTGGGAGTTTCTTTGTATGTTTCTTTTGTTCTTTTTAATTGGGTTTCGGCACTATGTTCGCGCTTTGGCGAATAAATAAAATAATTATAGTTTATTTCTGTTGAAACAAAAGAGTTCATTTTTCGTTTTTAACATCTTTAATTTAATTATTCCAATAATTTTATTACAATAAATATAAACGAGAGGGGTTTGAGGTCCGTCTTCGGGGAGGTGTAGCGAACGATTAAACTAATTTCTCTCTTGCCTTTTAGGCAGCTTAACATTAGTTATTACACATGATTCAATAATGAAAGATTTTGTAAGTAGCTTTTTTCTAAAAGTTGACACTCCCACCGACAGGGATGGTTTTTAAAAGCAGGAAAAAGGGGAAGAATTCAATCATACTTCCTAAAATGGTAGCTGAATTCCGCAAAAAGGTTGGCATAACAGTGCATAGTGGTAGTTTAATTTAAACCAGCTTATTTACATCAAATATAACTCAAGAATGGGTGGTCCACTTTGAGCTACTTTTTTGGAGTGTTTGTTTGCCTTGTTGTTTGGAAAAATTATGGATTTTTTATTAAAAAACGCCAAACAAAAACATTTGGAGCTTACGTCTCTTTCGCGGTTATGGCTCGATTGCTTCGAATATGGTAATTCGAATTATTTGATGTTGCACTTTTAGTATTCTCGGGAAATTATGCCGCTGTCAGAATATTAAACATTGGCTTACACAGTCGCGATTGGCGCTTCGTGCCGGACGACGGACGGTTCCATATTGCGTACTTTTAGACCCCACGGCTTTTTAGAGAATTTTAGCGACGGAAATTTAGCGTAGCCATTGTCAGAATTCCACTACAGTAGGGATGCACAGCGGAGGTGCTCGCAGTCGACGTCGCGGTCAAACTGCGAGCACGCGAGCGTGCTAGGCGAGGTGAAGTGAGCTGTACGGAGCTGTGAGCTGTTGACCGATCACACCTGATGTATAAACCCATCATGGCTGATAAATCATATTTGATGTGCAAGCCTATCACAGGTGAGCAATCATGCTTGATGCACATACCCATCACAGTTGATCCGAATATTAAAAAAAATTTAATACATACATTAATTTTCACTTCACATTTATTACATATGTTAATTTTTGTTAATTTTTAATTAATTTAGTTAATTTTGTTTTGTTGTTTGTTTTTTTAAATATTTTTTTTGTTGAACGCGATGTTGGCTCAGTTCTACCGCCTTTCGCACACTTCTTTCGAAGTTGAGGGCCCCTTGTTTCTGGAATACATCTGAAATGAAATGCAAAAAGATATCTTATAACAATAGCTTTTCTTTGGTAGATTAAAGAAAGTACCTCGCAGAATATTATTAATAAAATTAAGTTTATTAAGGGCCTGTTTCTCCCATGTCCCGTCCCAATTGTAATTGTGAAGCAGGTCATCCGTGAAGATGCCGCGAATGACAGGGCCGACATCTTCTGATGTCCCCTTCATTTTGTTCAAATATGAAGTCTATAAAAAAAGAAAATAAATTTATATGGGTATAATATTACAATAATGAGTGTTACCATTGCTTGGGCAAACTCTTGAACTTGAAGCCTTTCTTCCACATTCAGCACCCCAGTGGTAGTTGCTAATGGGAGCATGCTGGTGACCTCGTTCATGAACGTGTCCTCCAACTCTCCCGTCAGGCGGCAAACGGACATCTCAATTTTTCTAACCGCCACCTTACACTCTCTTAGCGCCTTCGTCTGAGCCATCGCCTCCGGGTTCTTTTCGATCTGGTGAAAATGTTTTACATTAATAAACGTGTAGGAGTAAAATTACCACATTCTTACACTTATATTTATTTTCTCTAGCTCCTTAGCTATCTCCTCTTGGTTGGCTACAATACTAGCCAATCCCTGGCTAAGAATGGCTTGATTTTGCATTACAGTCGTTTGCTTAAGTATGAGAAGTATTTTTACAATGAGAAAATACATTTATCAAAAACAGAAACGCAAATTACATTTTCCTCTAACTTTGCCAGCCGTGCGTTGGACTCCTTTTGCCCATTCAGGACTTCCCTCAAAGCTTTCAGAATATCTTAAACGAAAATATCAAATAAATAATTAATTACTATAGGCGAAATTCGTTTTTTGCGTACCATTTTGAGATGATGCCGATGTCTCCGGAAGCGGATCACTTAAAGCGTCATACGATTTTTTTGGCAAAATTGCTAAAAAGAAAACTAAACTGATATATATGTTTTTGTTTATTAATTTATTTGCTTACTGTTTTCTTGGCTATCGAATGACTCTTCAAAAATATTGCCGGATATATCCATGTATTAAAAAATCAAGAATTGTTATTAATATTGTTATTATACTTATTTTTATTATTATTTTGTTGTCATTTTTATTATTAATATTTTTGTTAATATTTAAGAGTATTATTATTATTTTTTTTATTATTATTATTATTAGTAGTAGTTTTATTATTATATTTATTGATATTATTGCTTTTATTTTTATTATTTTTATTTATTTTCAAGATTAATTTAAATGCAATGCTTAGATTAGTGTGCAAACTCATGAAATAGATGGTGAAGAAGGGGAATAAGATTAAACTTGTTGCCTATAGGTATGGAAAAATATTTGAATTCCATATCTGTAACCGGAACTACTGTGGTTTCACTACTCAATTCTCCAGCAACAACTATACCTAAACCACTAAACGACTGCAGAGGTTGCTCGAAGTAGTTTTCCGTATTTTGGAAAACTTTGCATACAAAATTCTCGGGGCTCACTTGGTCCACTACTTTGATGGGTCCTGTCTTCATAGTGAAACCAAAGCTGTCTTTTCCTTTTTTATGGGAAATACTAAAGGACCCTATTTTCGAAGCATTTCTCGAAACTGATTCAAGTCCCTGTCTTTCTTCAAGCCTAAGAAATATCTGTTGCAGAATTTGATTGGGTTTATTTATAATTTTTTTTAATAGACTGCATGTAGTTCTCATATTTGTAGGCTGCAAAGGAGTCTAGTGGTCCAAATTGTTTTACGCAATCCGTTAAATGGAGAAGTCCATGGACGTTAAAGCTTACTAGCTCGTCACCATATAATGTTCCGAAAAATTTTACGAAATCTTCTAAAAGCTTTTAGGAAATATCTGCGTCTCTTTGATGCGACCTTTCATTGGACAGCAGTCTTATACCGCTATGCAATAGTAGGAAGTGATAATATTGATCACTACTAATACAACCTTTCAAAACGAAAATACCGGTGTACAGCAAAAATTGCCTAAACTCTGTGGACTTCCAATTACTTATGTCATTTAAATTTCTAGGCACACGACAAAATTCCGATGGAACAAATTTAGCGACAAAATTAAATTTATTATTTAAGTTAATTAAATTTGATTTCTTAATTAAGAGTTTAAGCATTTTTTTTGTCACCCCCAAATCGACGAGATGCATGCTATCCAGGGGGAACTGCGAAACCATTCCGAACCCGGATTCCTCCAACAAACTCTTTTTGGTTTTGAATGGTTCTATGTGGTGCGCCAGATCGCGTCTAAGCTCAAATGTAGAATCTGACCTTAAACCTCTTACCTCTTTCAGAAAACACACTCTTCTATTTTTATATAGTCCTTCCTGATCGCATTTGGGACAACCATTCTTGCTATTGTGAGATACGATACCAGTCACGAATGCTCTGGCTGGAGTGTCACAAACGAAGAGACGGACATTGAATCGCAACCTATTTTGGTTGGGGCCCACTTTGATGCCATTTTCTTTAAGTAACTTTACTTCTGTACAAAAGTCCGCCATAAAACTATTTATATTTTCGGGCTTCTTGAAACCCGAGAAACAACCGATCATGAAAGGACTAACTTTAGGAAAGCCCACAATCGCATTTTTCATTCCTACCAATATTTCTCACAGGGTAAGAATCAATACCCACGGAAGAGGAAGCTACAGGATCTAATTCAGTTTCCGAAGCACTGTCAGTTTCACTCCACCCACGCTCAATGAGAAATGAATCATCTGAACATATGGATGATCCGGGCTCAGGAAGCACATTTTCACCGACGCTTGGGGTAGAAAGGCAACCACTTGCGGAAGGCGATTCTGTGGGCTCAAATATTACATCTCTACCTGGCTTTAATAAAGAAGCACCTGCAGAAGTGGATGCTCCTGACTCCCAAACCAAATGACCACCATCACCTCCACTTGCAACACCATCACTTCCACTTGCAACACCATCAGCACATTGCATTTCTAATAATCTTTTAAATTTTTTCACATCGGACTCAAATGCCCTTTTTTCTTTTGTTATGCAATTTTGCAAGTGCCTTTTATTCATTTTACTTATCTTTCTTAAATTCCGCTTCTGGTAATTCCACCTTTTTAATATTTTAATATTTTAATTTTATCCACTCGCGCGCTTTTGCAGCTTACTTTTCTTTGATTTCTTTTTAAAGTTCTTTCTTAATAAAAAAATGCAACTCTGGCGAATGTATTAGTTGTTTCACTCTTGCATATACATAAAAAAATTGTAACAATGGTCTCTTTTTAACCAACGCAAAAATATTAGAAAGGTTTGCAAATGTGTTAGTGAGATAAATGAGAATGTGTTAGTTTCCATCACACAATTCTTGTTGGGTATCTTAGGACTTAATTAAAATAATCAACATTATTTGTAGACGAATATATTTGTGTTCGTATGAAATAGTAGCTTATGTCGGGAGGCTGGCTTTAGTAAAATGTACCATTTCTTTAAACCACAAGGAATTTTTTTATGAGACTTTATACGAATATTGACTTGCTAGCATCGCAACTGCCTCTTTTACGTTTATTTTCCAAGAGTTCTTCAACGACTCGGCGCCAGTGAGTCTTTCGCAATCGTATGCTGCGAATGGTTCATTATACTAAAGCCAGTCTTCCGACATAAGCTACTATTCTATACGAACACAGATATGTATACTTCCTAATAGGCTTGTAAAATGCCCAATACACAAATCCCTCGCACGAGTTATTATCGGTAAAAAATTGGGTACGCTCAAATCTGGCATCGCTGCAGCAAGTACTTTGTCACGCCAGTGAAACAGTGTTGATATTTTAGGTACAATTGTACTTTTTTCACTACAATTAATTTTAAAAGTAAAAAAGTACAATTTGCCGATATTGAGTACAATTTCAAAATCAAAAATACTTTTTGTACCAAACGCTGAAATCTCTTCTAGCACTTTGATTCTTAATCCGTTTACATTTAAGTAAATGGATATACCTATATTTCATATTTGCTACAAAATGAAATTATGAATGTAAACGTGATTGTGAACAGTAATATTAGTGATGTGCGTTATGGTGATTGCGATTTCTTATCACCGGCGGGTGAAATATCCCTCATCGCTATTTATTTTGATAAAATCTTTGGAAATGCAATTTACCTAATGGCGATCCTGCAGAAATAGAAGTAATTGAGCAATTCGGGGGTTGAAAGTAAAAGAATATATGTAAATTCCCTGCGTTGAAATTATAAATTTCCGTTGAGGATTTCCATTTTATCGATAGTGATCTCATTTTATGTTCATTTATATAAACTGACCTATATAGTGTATTAATGTTTTATCAACATTGTCCTAATCTTTGACAAAATTACACGGTCACTCGGTATTTATTTTATTTTTTTAAATAATTTCAATTATTTTTTTTTATAAAATTGTAGCTCATTGTCAAACAAAAACCTTGCAAATAAATCGAAACTTGAAAGAATGAAAAAAATCAACAAAGTTTCATCAAATTTTCACAGTTTTTGTTCAGAATTTGTAGACATGTTTTGGGTTAACAGTTTTGTAGCCCATTCATTCTAGTATAATAAGGTGCAAGTTTGAAGTGTCTAGAAAATACCATTGATATTTTGAATTTTTCTGTTTGCGGTGTTGCGCACTTTCTTCCATATAACGTACGTTCGCATTTTATGTTATATGGATGAATGCGCATGTAGCGTTGTTGTTTTTTATTCCAATATTTTAAATTAAGCTTTATTTCATGGTTTTTATTAGACAATGATAAATGATGTACACAAATTTCAGTATGGAAGAAAAAGTGCAACACCTTCAAGGAAAAAAGTTCTCAAAAATCTACGCGAATTGAATGTACTATCTCGATCATTTAAACATCTCGGACTCGCCCACCACTAAAAATGATTATTTAAATCTAAAGTATATGTAGCGACTTGCGCCTCTACAAATAGTTACTCATACTCAGAGATTGGTTTTGAAGTAGAGTACCAGCCTAATGAATTAAGGGCAGTGCGGCCCATCATCATCTACTCAGCACTATGACATTTGACGATTCATCAACTTCGCCGCTCAGCTTTCTAATCTCTCGATTGGTTCTCTTTCTTCTTTGGCGGACCAGCACAGACGACGGACGTTTCATCAGCTGCACTCTCCCCGGCTAAAATAAGTATTTTACCCGATTTAATTGAGCTGTGATTTTGTGATTTTAAATAAATTATTAAATAACGTAGCGGGTCTTGTTTTCTCGCTATCGAATGCAAGTCAACCGCTACAGTGGTGACCCCGACGTGATTTTTT